TTCCTCATTCTAACTGATGACATCGAAGTTGCCGATCTCCGGCACACCAACCTCGCCCCTCTCTGGGTACCCACTCATTCCATTGATCTCCTCCCTTTCCTTACCAAACTACCCATATGGGTTCGATTACTTCTGCGAATCCTTGACAGCCTTATCGCCCCACGATTACCAAGTAATCGACTTCGTCGTCGGGTTTGCAGAAGTTGAGGATCGCCTCTACCACTTCCCTTTGCTCTCGCAGCCCAGCACCATCTTCAAGCCCAGCAAAACGCAGCAGCAATCCTGCACCCACCACCGCTGCCGAGTCTCTTATGAATACAACTTGGGCTTTTTTTTTTTGGGAAAAATTGAATGGTTTTGCTTTGTTTGGTTGCTTGGAAAATGTGGGAGAAAGGAAATGAAATTGGTGGGTGCCTTGTTTTTTATGCATGCTTGTAGGTTAGAAATAAAGAGAGCGGCGGAGGAAGAGAAGAGAGGCACCTGGTCGGAATGGGAGTGGCTGGTTTGGGGTGGGATCTGGGTTTGGGTTAGGGGAAGACGGCAATCTTGTCGGCCCCGACCTTGACAGCTCTCCATTTCTCCCTTTCTCCTTAATAGCTTCGGAGAAGGCGACGACGGTGGGCAATGAAGTGGGAGAGTGAAACGGGTCGGAGCTTGCAGGTAGATCCGAGAAAGGAGGGTAGATGAAAAAATCCAGGTGGGTTTGGGGGGTTATGGGCACGGCGAGAGAGAAAAGTGGGGAGGAATGAGACTACGGTGGAGAGGAGAGGGAGATGTGAGAGAGATAGAGGGGAGAGAGAGGGTGGAGGAGGAAGGTTGGGGGGGGACGGGTGGGAAGGGGACAGGGGAGTCGGTTGGGAAGGGGTTTTGGGGATGCAGAGAAGAGAGAGGCGAGATGGAGGGGAGAGAGAGAGGGATTTAATATAATTTTTTTAAATTTTTAATTATTAAAAAATATATTTAATTATATTTTAATTCAGTTGGATTAGTGAGTGGCCCGTATCTAGCCACGTCAGCACTTAACAAAGAAACTAACAGAAAATTTGACGGAGGTATGACATTGGCACAAATTCGTAAGATGAGGTATGACATTGTCATTTTAAGAAGATGAGGTATGAAAGTGTCGTGAGACCAATAGTTGAGGTAGTTTTTTGTACTTTACCCAAAAATTAATATAAAATATTGACGTGATTTAATAATGACCATACAAATTTAAGGGGATTGGAAGGACACCATAATAGGGGCAGACAATCTGCCTCCAAAGAAAAAAAGAAGTAGATTGGCAGCAAGCAAAGTGAAAATTCTTCAAAATTAAAAACCCAAATCTTTGTCTTTCCTAAAAGTAAAAATATAAAAAAATAATTCAATGACCACCACATCCCCGTTCACAGCTGCGATGATGCCTATCTTCCACAATTGTTAGACCAAACCAAGAAAAAAGCTGTCTCTTTGCTCTTCATCTCTCTCTCAGCAAGAAGAAGTATGTATATATATACATATACATGTATATATTGATTGATTGAGATTTGAATATTTGAATAATTGATATAAAATCATAGATGGCGGGGTACAAAGGTGACGATGAGTACGATTACTTGTTCAAGCTGGTATTGATTGGGGATTCTGGGGTGGGAAAGTCGAACCTGCTTTCCAGGTTCACCAGGAACGAGTTTAATTTGGAGTCCAAGTCTACCATCGGTGTCGAGTTCGCCACCAAGACTTTGACCGTTGATTCCAAGCTCATCAAAGCTCAGATTTGGGACACTGCTGGCCAAGAAAGGTGATATTTTTCCTCCTCTTTCTTTTTTCCTCTATCTGTTCTCCTTATTTTTTTTTAGTTTTTCTGATTTGGGTTTTTGATTCTTTTAGCTGAGTTGACTTGGAAATATTTTGATATAATTTCTTGGCTCGAGTTTTGATTGAATTGTATGCTCAATAGTCAGTAGGGTTATCCTTTGAATTTCTTCTGATATTAATATATGAAGCCTGACAGATTGTTTTGTGTGCAAGTTTGATATCTGAGGTGAACAGGAAGAGCCCAAGATTCAGTTTTATCAAAAGGGTTTTCCCCTGTTTTCGGAAATTTCGTGGGGGTTATGGAGTTTTTTTTTCTGTCTCCCTAATTTTTAACCACTTATTTTGAAATTTTACCTGTAGTTTTGCGAAGTTTTGCATACTCATATTATTGCAGTCCTCTTTTTCTTGAGGAAAGGATACGTTGATACTTGTATATATAATTGGTTGAGGAAGATGTTCTCTTGACCACTCCCAGCTGCCATAGCATATTTTTTTGCTCGTGGAGCTTTCAAAATACTAGTTTGGACTTTAGAGTGGCCTTCTGTTTTGCTTCTTCGTCCAACCTTATTTCACTTTTCATGGAAATCCCTCCTTCAAGGCTTGACATTCTGCGATTGGGACAGTTCTCTAGTCTGGGTCTCCAGACATGGCTTGATTGCTTCTCTAAACTGGAGAATCCAAATTGTGTTTAATGAAGTACTCCTTCAGGGGTTGCCATTTGATCCCCTTTGTGGGAGGGGATGTGTTTGTTTTTTCCTCTATTGTGTGGTGTTGTATCTTATGGCAAAGTTGGGAGACAATTAGTAGCATTACTAATGGCCTGAATAGGGTTAGGCTTTTTGTTCCTCAGTATCATTGCATATAGGTGTTCCAAGAGCTGCTTACACACCAACAGTTTTTCTGACAAATTAATATTGTTATTTCCTTTTTGTTGTTGCTTGTTCTCTATATGTAGAGCCCAATCAAGAAAAAGGTTTGTGTTTAGGGTGTTTGGGCAGGCCATGTCAACACATCCTGACACCTCTAACGAAAAGATACTATTTGAAAAATGGTCGATATCTTCCATCGCCTCACCACAAAAGAGGCATGCCTGAACTATATTTGAATAGAATATTGCCTACAAACCAATCCTCAGAGGAAAAGAAAAGGAATTTGAAAATTTTCAGTTTTGTGTTTTGTTGAATTGTAATGCAACTCTGCAGTGCTGTTGATGGCCAATTATTTTTGCCTAATTTCATGGAAATGATCTTTGGCTTATGAAATGTAACTTTGAAGTTTGCTTTGCGAAAACTATTTGGTTTTGAACTCACTGTGTTTCTAGCTTTTGTTTATGACCAGACTTCTGACCTATGAGTTAATTGTCGTGTTACAAGAAGTTTTGTACCTAAGTATTGTTCGCAACCGCTTTTGACTTTCATATAGTTTTGTTGAAAACGCGAAAGTTACTGATTATGTTCATGTCATGTGTATAAACATTATGACGTGTTAGCTGTGTGCAAGTGATTGAATTCTATTGAGTCTAGTTGGAGAATATTATTTCTCAAGGAAAAGCATGATATGAATTGGCGAAAAACACTATTTGGCTCACAAGGTCCAGTGGGGGAAAGATAAATCAGCTGGCTAATCTGTTGTTGATACTGCCCGGGATTGGAGTCTTGTGTATTATTCCGTTGTTCAGTGTATGCTACACTGATTACCATGAGGTACTGTAGCGGTTGCTAGACCATAGAGCTTTCTAATACGATCTAAAAAAACAGGAACTGTAAATAGTTGGAGTTATATTTGGGTAAAAGTGTTGATTGCAGATATGTTGCCGTGGTCTGAATCTCCCTCACATTGGGCGTCATGTTCAAGCGGAAATTACATCCATTGCAGGGTCAAATGGCCCTCTAGCTACAATTGCAAGTTGTTGTTTGAAGTTGTAAAATTGCTGTTAAGTTCTAAATTACGTAGTTTCCACTAAATTCCTTATTGTTATAGGTACCGTGCCATTACAAGTGCATACTACCGAGGGGCTGTTGGTGCTTTGCTAGTGTATGATGTCACTCGGCATGCCACATTTGAGAATGTAGCAAGGTGGTTGAAGGAACTGAGGAACCATACAGACCCCAACATTGTAGTGATGCTCATCGGCAACAAATCAGATCTTCGCCATCTGGTGGCTGTCTCAAAAGAGGATGGTAAATCTTTTGCCGAAAGAGAGTCCCTCTACTTCATGGAAACTTCTGCGTTGGAAGCAACCAACGTAGAAAGTGCATTTACCCAAGTCTTGACTCAAATATACCGGGTGGTAAGCAAGAGGGCAGTCGAGGCAGGCAACAATGGAAGCGCTTCTGCTGTTCCGTCTAAAGGACAGACCATAAATGTCAAAGATGATGGTTCTGTTTTCAAGAGAATTGGATGCTGCTCAAACTAGAACTGGTAATTTTCGTGCTTTTCTTTTTCGGGCTTTTCTTTTATCCCGCTTTCTGTATATGATCACCGGAATCTGTCTTTAGAATAAAAAAACTAGTTTTTCAGATACATTGCTGGCTAAACTGTCTAATAGGCCAGGCCAGGGTCTGTATATTGAACGTTGGGTGGGTTCGTTTCCTTGTATACCCGAACTTGTGGCCGCCGGATCATAATTCGTAGCTTGTTATAGTATTTTAGCTTCATTTGTGTACTTGCAAAAATCATGAACATCGACTCTACTACACCTTAGTTGTTGTATGTAATTTCGTCCTTACCCAATGCCGCTTGTATACAAAAAGACTGATGAATGTTTTCGGTCGTATCCTGTACTACTACAACTTTTAGGACAAGGATTGTCTGCCCTCCCAGTGCCCGTGCCCTTTTGTTTGTGTGGTTATGGTTAAGCCACGTCAACAATTTATATTACATTTCATTTTTGTCTTATTATCTCTATAAAAAAAACAATATAAAATGTTGACGTGGCTTAACCGTGACCACACAAAACAGGAAGGCATGGGAGGGCAGACAATCTTTGTCCCAACTTTTAAACTACATCTCCGGTTTTGTCACTGAACCCTCCTGTAGCTGGCCGAGTTCAGAAAACATGTACCACTCCATAATTCATGCGATTACTATTTCCTGAAGAGATTTTTTAGTGTGCCCGGACCATGTGGCTCTACACATGATGCTATGTCGTGCTGGGATTCTGGATGGAGTCTTGGAGAAACAAGAAATAACGTCAACCATGATGCTTGAAAACCTCGCGTATACGCAGAATGCTTCTATATGTATATCTTATCTTTTTGTTTTTCATTTTTTTAACTTACAGATCAATCTTCTGGTAATCTGATAGCTACTATACTGATTACGCAGATTTTCAGATCTCTTCAAAGTTTACATGGTTACAAATTTACACCAGTTTAAGCTATAAATTGGCTAATACTTACATTTGATGATATAACTTCAATGGTGTCGGTCCTCTACAGATTAATCTGGTCACTTTTCGTCGTTGGAGACGGCCTCCGGAAGTTTATAGCTGGGAGGCTTATCAGCACCCCTCCTTGAGTACTCCCTCCATCTTCGAGCTGCTGCTGCCGCTCTCCTTGATCTTTCTTTCACTTCCTCCTCTGAAAAAAGATAACACATTTCAAATTTAACTTCAGACTTTGATACGTCCATAACATATGAAGCATTAAACATGTTCAAGTAGAAAATCCCTCTTCCTGGCGGACCGGGACTCTACGGCTGGGTCTTATTCCATCCCAAACTCGGATTAGGAAGAGTGCCCTAACGATAAAGTGACTCAAATCATTACAACCATGTAATATCAATATTTTGATGGGATAGTTGAAGTTTGGAGGATAATAACTTTATGCTGAAAAGCCAATATCAGCTGAGGCGGGATTCGGCAAGAACCACTGGTGCGTAAGATTACGAAGATGCAAATCAAACCGGCACCCAAGGGAGATTAGAACTTTTGCTCGAGGAAGAAAGCATGTCGGAATGATAAGAAAAAGAACGACAAACATGGAAAGCCTTTCTGAGTCTTACACATTACCCATTTGAAATAACATCTATCTGGACAAGGCAGCTATGCAGGTATATGAGCACAGCAGCAAACGAAAAAAATTACTTCTGTTAACAGTTGGTGATCCAAATAAGTTGATTCTAACTCAATTGGACCTCAAAAAGGAAGAGATGGCGCTACACCTTGAGAAGGAATATAAATCAAAATGTAAAAACCTCTTAGAGACTAAATTTTAAAACATATTGCGATTAATACATTGGACGTACTTGAGGTTAAAACGGTGAGAAACGAAGAAAGGGTGGATGGTACTCACGTCGAGTAAGTTGTATTATGTTTCTTCTGTACATTGATATTTCAAACATTAGTTATTAATATCATTCTTTCTACAGGTTTGCACTTACCTGAATTTTGGTACTCTTTGGTGTTACCCCAAATGTTGTCCCAGTATGATTCTGTTTTATCTGAATCCTTCTTCTTCTTCTTCATCCTAATTTGAGCTTGTTCCTGCAATAAACCCAGGTTTGTGAAATGTCATAACTCAAAGCATAAATGCACTTGGTACTTTAAAAACTTGTTAGCAGCGATCGAGATTTTTTCTGCCAAGAGGGAACGGCAGCACAGAAATTGGCAACTCAAGGTTTTTGTTTTCTTCTTTATCAGAAGAAACTGAAATTTCATAAGACTGCTCTTTGGATCAGAATATTGAAGGTTTCATCCTTGGTAGTTCATACAACCGAGACACTGAGTATTACTGATTTTACTTTATAGCAAAAGAAATCACAAAACATTAGATTAGTTGAAGGTACAAAAAAGAAAAGGGAGCTCCTACCAAGACTTGTGATTGCCTCTTTTGCCACCGAGAACTTGCCTGCCACATTAACGAAAATTGCTAAGCTAGTTATGGCGACAATGAAGATAAGCTAGAAATAATTTTATCCCAAAGATTAATCTAAGCAGATGAGTTTAAGAACATATAACAAATATTTATACATTCTTCTTTTGATTTGCTTCTTGATTACATCAGAAGTGTTTCAAGAGCTACGAGGAATAAACTTCCTGGTTCTACTTCGTTTTAGCAGAATTCAGATAATATGCCAACACATTGTAGTTCAAGGCACAAAAGCAAAGATAATATGCCAACACATTGTAATTCAGAAAATGTCTTCAGGTCATTAACTGAAAGTTGTGAAAAATCATAGACAATGTATAATACAAAGAACGAGTAACATACCATTCTGAAAACATCCACTGATGAGCCCATACCTGCGAGCATCAGTGCAACCTGACCATCCACAGTACACTTTTAGCTACTGAAGTTATAAACGAATAAGAAAAAAGTATAAAACGCAGCTCTTTTGGTCAAAGTTTAGATAACTAGAAAGACTCAGAATTGATTAGTACGACCAAGCAGCTAAGAAAACTATTCGCATCGAAGGATTTCAAAATGGTGATAAAGAAGGTGAATATAATTATTAGTATAAATATAAAGCTTGGACAATTCAAACATTATAATGATTGCTTTCCGTACGTTTACTCTTTCTACTCTGCGCATTTCATCTTCGAGCAATGATAGTTGAGCAGCAGAAGTCCAATGGATGCAATCAACAGGGCTGAAACAAAGAAGAATTTGTCAACTAATAATCAAGGACAACTAGTAATTTCCAGGCATCTGATAGTACAATTGACAACTATCCAGTGACATGAAAATTTCAAACGTCGAATTTGTGAAAGCAGTACAAGCATGCACGAAAACAAAACTATTTGATGCTGCAGAAAAATTTGAAATTTGTAGAAAAATGATTTGATTATTTGTCAAAAACCAGAAATACTTTCACGAGCTTTAAGGAAGACTCTTCTAACAAGTCTGAAGTCAAATTCTTATTTGATGTAAAGTAACGCTCTTCAGTGAAGTGTGTCCCGTTTCTACCTATTTACACGCAAACCATGAAAATACAAAGATGCCTGATTCCTAATATATGTCTTAGTTGAACACACAATACAATTGACAAAAATGGAAGTAGGACTAATCAGTTTGTCACAAAATGTTCATCATATTCGAAAAACCGATGTCAAAGTACCTACCAACTATCAATTGCCTGTTGAACTAAATCTACGCTCCCGCACTGACTGTATACTCGGGCTCTTCCAAAGTCTTCCTCGATTCCAAAGACGTCTGGGGCAACGCTGGCACAGTTTTTGCAGCCTATGCAGCTAAACTCATCAACAAATGCATGATCCTTTGGTGCAGACTCGTTCAGGAAAGGATTGATTGCTGTCAAAGCATAGCCGTGAATTTCGTCGTAAACCATGCGTTGCACGGGGTCACTGAGCACCTCATAGACCTCATTGATGAACATGCAGAAATTGTTGGTGTCTGGATTATCACCACTCAAGTCCGGATGGCAAGCTTTCATACAATTATAATACGCCTTTTTTATTTGTGCCGGCGTTGCATCTGGAAGCTGTTATTAACATAACATACAAAATCTAAAGCATTTCACGCAAAACCCAACTCCTCAAAATTCATAAAAATATGAACTTTTGGATATTCCCCCAAAAATTAAACTAATTAATTTGCGCAGAAGCATAAATTTTTTGCAAATTTAAACAAAACCCAGATGGAATTTAATAAAAGGGGTACAATATTATTAAGCATACCAATCCCAAGACGGAATAGTAGTCATCAGCGACGGCGTTCGTTGAAGGTGAGTCGTCGGTTGCCACTCTGAGCCTGCTATAGCCTCTACGCCTCCTCCGGCCGCCTCCATGACCACCCATCAAAGTCAGGCTACTGCCGGGCTTGGCTAACATGCGCCATGGGCTTCTAGAGCACCCATTCCGTAATGGGTTTTGGAACTTGAGAGCTTCAGTGAACACAGGGGATGGGGTCAGTAATTGAGCCATTGACGAGCATGCAAATTGCAACTCCAGCTTATTGCTTTGGGCCAAATTGAATAATATTGAAACAGAGGAAGTAAAAAAGTTGGATATTTTAATTTTTGGGAGATAAATTTGGAATATTTGAAAATTCTGAGGTGGAAGAAATTTTGGCGTGGAAGGGAGGGATGCTGAGATGGCACTTTCAGAGCCAAACGTTTTCCTGAGAATGTGGACAGACCCGAGGTGGTTCCATCGTGGGAAGTGGCGAAGTACGGCAAGCATACAGGGAAAACGTGTCACCTCATGAATAATTGCTGCTGCAACTCTTAAGAGCAACTCTACCGTTCCGTTGGAGCCGGTCGAGCCCTCTCCTCAGGCAATCCATTATTTAATCCACCTAATAAACAATAATTACCTTTAATGAACAGTAATTGCATTTGGTATCTCCACCCCTACACTTAAATAGCCCTGGCAACAGGTAAATAAAATAATAATATTTTTTGCACTCCCTCACGTCACTCCTCTCTTTCCCGTGCACCTCACTCTCTCTCTCCCATTTTTCTATGAAGTTCCTCTCTCTCTCTCTTTACACTCTCACTCTCTCTAGAGCTCCGAGAGCTCTCACCCACTTTCCTCTTCGAAAATAAAACAAATCAAACTCCAAAACCATGAAATCTTAATCTCTAGGACTAAAGGATCCTTGCTATACCGTTGCATGCATCATCAGACCATCATGATGTAAACCACCATTGAAGTCGAGAGCTTCAAGATCTGAATCTCGAACCCAAGTGAGGTTCTCTATGCAAATCTTGTTTCATTATGTCTTAATGTTGCTTAGGACAAGATTTGTGGTGTTTTCCGGTTTGAAACTAGAGGTTTAACCCTCTGTAATTTCTTTGAAACCTTGCCCAGTTTTTGGTCCATCCTCGGAGCAAACTCTGGCAAGTTTGTGGGTTGAGATCCAACGGACGCCAAGGCAAAATAGAAGAAAAAACGTGGTTGACGTCAGGGCGACGTCAGCCTTGCGTCAAACCCACTCCGAGCTCTCGGGCTGGCAACTCTCCACCGGCCTCTCGCTCGGGCCTGCTCGGGTTCCCTTGCCAGCACACGTTGGACTTGATTGCTCGGGCTCTCTGGCACTGTTCACTCGCATGTCCCTCGGGCTCCAGCACACGCTGAAGCTGCTTTAATCGAACTGGTTACTTTGTTGGAATTGGATCCTCTCTGAGGCAACCCCTCAGGATCATCTTACCGATGTTAGTGGGTCGTTGGATTTTTATCCAACGGTTACAAACAGGAGGACCCTCTAAAAATTATAATAATTGTAACTGTTGGATAAAAATCCAACAGCCCACTAACCCCGATCAGAAGGATTCTGAGGGTTTGCCTCGGAGAGGATCCAATTTCTACTTTGTTTCACTCGGCTCCATTACGTGTGGTACAATATCGTGAAGTGACAGTCATTGCTCAATTTGGGTTAGTACTTGATGCAACGACTCAAACTTTATTTCATTGTGATGTAACCAAAACAACCACAATATGTTTCACTTTGAAGATCAAAAGCGAATTTTGCAAAAGCTTCTAATTCTGCAAATTGTGCCAATATCAATTTTGATTTGCCAGCTACTTGTTTTATGGCTTTCTATTTGAACTATACTATAAAGAAGTTAATGTTGTTGGAAATGTGCCCTAAAGCCAATCATATGATGATACTTTACGGACATTTCACATGTTAAACTAATCTAGTTTTACATATAAAAGGCAAAGATTATTGTTTGAGCCGTCTCATATAAATGTTATATGCTTAAACGATAAAGTCCAAGGAATATGTGATTGGGAGAATGTAATCTAATGAAGTTAGATTCATGAGACCATTCTTTCGTAGACACATCCTAAATGTTCCTGATCATAGGATTGTCAATTGGGCATTGACAGTCCGTAAAGATCGGTACGTACTATGTCTTCTCTCAGGGAGAGTGATTAGTCTCGAGTCATTGGTGTGTGTGACATCAAGACAAGTACGTAGGTGCTCAATAGAGAATGAGTACACTGAACGTGATCAACGAAGAGTTCTTATATTCCATGTCACATGAGAACTCATGGTTGGGATAATGCAAAGTAGTCCTTTGACCTGAGGCATCACAGTTGTCTTGTGGTTAAGTCCTTGATCTTTGATTATGTCAAAGTCACCCCCTCGGGGTGTCCACGACATCGTTGGGGTTAAGCCACTTAGCTATGGAGACAAGTGAATGCGCAACAAGGGATCTCTAACCTTCAAACAGTTGAGGGAGAATACTCTATGATATGATTTGGAATCTCTGGCCAGAGTATGAATGAGATTAGGGAATGCGTTCCAAATCACATTCAAGGAAATCATATAAGCACACGAATCACATTGGATAGTAGACATGAATAAATAAACTATCATACCAAACAATGTGGTCAAGAGTATTAGATTAGAGAAGGACCGTATTGCATTTGTAATCCCAAATTGAATAGGTTCTCTATCCTCTTCTGATTAGCTTGGGTAACCATGATATGCTGCTAGGTGTCACTCATGGTTTGTGGAAGCCCTAAACGTGTGTAATCACTAAAGGGAGAATTGAAAAATAGTTTCAATTCACAATCGATGTAAAATGGTTTTAATCGCCCACTACCTCGCTAAAAGGAACCTAATGGATCGCACACCATAAAAGGTGGAGATTGAAGATTAAACGGAAATGAGTAAGAATGATTAAATAGGTTTAATCATTTATTTATGGCAAGGATTAATTAATATGTTAATTAATCAAACGAATAAGTTCGTTAAAGACTTCGGGATAGTTTTGGACCTTAAGGCCCAATGGGCTTCGAACGTCAAGCCCATTAACTTAAGTTGTATGACAATTTAATGAATGAAGATTCATTAAAGCCCAAAAGCCCAAAATCCCCTAAATGGCCGGCCATGATGAAATGAATTAGGGTTTTGGTTGTTTAGGTCACTTAAAGAAGTGACTATATAAATGATTTTATAGCCAAATATTCATTAAGTGATTAATGGATTATTTTGGGTGAAAATGGGTGAGAATTGTCTCTCCATTTTCTCTCTAAAGAGGCCAACACCTTGGAGGGTACATCTAGCAATCCTACTACTCCAAGGTCACTCATTTCTTCTACAATCAAACCTTGGTGAAGAGACTTAGAGGTTCCCTATTTTGGGAACTTGGAGAAACCTATTTTTCCATCCAAATCCATGGATCTAAGAAGTAAGGAATGAAGGCCCTATCTCTTTGGGTGATTAGCCTTTGCTTATGCAAAGAGGAATCTACAAAGGTAATAATTTCAACTCACTTTGTTTTGAGTTGATTATTGGTTCACCAATCTACTAGGCTTTGAATTTCATGGTAATGTTTTGTTTTTGAGTGCATGCAAGCATGATTCCGCCTTTAATTGTTAATTGCATGCTATATGATGTTGCTCAAATGAACATGTTTTTCAAAATAATTCCTTCAAATGTTCCACCATAAAATCATATGAGGAGTAGTCTAACTACTTATAAGCATATCAATATGTGATTCATTATCAACACGCATCTACACGTGTAGCAAATTTTCAAGCTTATCACGTGAACAATACAACTTGGGTGATGTGGAGCACGTGTGGTCATAGGGCTTAACGCGTGGAACAACTTGCTCTAATACCATAAAGAAAGTTGAGATTCCATTATAAAACTCAAGATCCTGCCCTGGAAACTGAAAACCCATATTAATGGCCGGTCTGTTTCTAGAATAAAATAAATTGGCAGATAAGAATAAGGGTCCTATTAGGGTACTCCCAGAAATATATCCAATTGAGACAAGGTGGAACATGTAGCTCAGAAGATTAGAGTACATGGGTATGAGCCACGCTGTTGGGGTTCGAATACCTCATCACTGACAACCACCCTAAAAATGAAGGACCTTTTCTTTTGGGGTAGAAAAATCATGATAGAGATAGCAGACCCAAAACTATGAAATTTGGGTGTGGAAATAAAATATGATTTTTACACGTGGGCCCATCGCGAGTTACACATAGAGATATGAGACAAGCCTAAGGATGAAGGTTCGTCAAGATCTTTGCCTTGAGCCTAAGGGTATTATGAATTGCTCAAAAGAGTCATTAGTCTCACACTACATGTGAAATGTTAAGAGAATGTTGGCAGAACAACAATTAGTAAGACTAATTTATTGAAATTTATATATTCTAACGCAATAATATTAACAACCAAATATGATATGTATATATTACAAAAAAAGCAAAATTGTAAAAAAGCAATGAGCTTACGGATTTTGCAGATAGAGGCCTGCGGATTTTCCATGTCTTTGAATATAATTTCACTTCTATTCAATGCTTGTAGTTTTGCAAGCGTCTGCTCCACCAGGATTTAACTATTTATGAAAGTTTTAGCACTGAAACTTTGATTTTGGTGAACTTCTTTGTGTTTCTCTCTCATAAAGTTCATATGAATAAAGGTTCCAAAATTGACATAACAAATGCAAATGAACGTTTGAGATATATAGGATTCTCATGCCTTCTCAAAACAGATGTAATTGTTTGATTCAAGTTCAAACAAATACTGTGAATGCAAATTTTTGCCTTCTCCTTCTTGGACGAAAATGCACCTGCCAAACAATTAATACCTTAGGTCAAGGCCAAGAGCTTCACGCACCCACGATGACTGAGGGGCTTTGGCCGAAGAACCTCTGATGCCAAAGTTAGAATTTGAGAGAGAAAGTGTTTAGAGAAATTTGGAGAATTTTAGAAGAGAATTCGACTTAGGTTTTTGGGAGAAATGAGAGCTATTTATAGGGGTGTGGCAGGCCCTTATTTGGAGAAAAGGGGTCCGGCCACTTATGGTGGGTTTTTGGTGTAATTGCAAGATATTATGTAAAAATAATATCTTGTAATCAATTAGAAAATTAATTAATTAATTAATTAGGAAATTAATAAATTAATTTAGGTAATTAATCATAATTTGAATGAATAATTGATGGTTAACTTGTGGGGAGGATTTGATGAGGATGGATGAAATAGGTTTTGAATAAATACCTATTTTAGTCACTTTTGACCTTGATTGAGTC